CAAAAGGAAAGTTTTCCAGAAGTTTCTGAAGACATGTTTTATCAAATAATGTTGTTCTGAGACCAACTCTGAGTTGTTTTCAAACTTATCTGCAAATAGCTCTACTTGGAAGCCCCGATATCTCCATCTATCTGCTCTCCCTCATCAAGCTCATCGCCAGCAATATAGATCATGTGTGATTGTGCTCTTTGGACGCTCTAGACGAGACGACAATAGGGAACAAAGACGACGGAGTTTTGGGCTGAGCAACTTAAAGAGTCTGTTACCTTTTTCTTCATTGTATTTCAATGTATCTTGCTTTATTCTATGTATTTCATTGTATTCATTGTCTTTTTTTTTCATTGTATTTCAATGTATCTCGATGTATTCTATGTATTTCATTGTATTCATTGTCTTCTTTTTCATTGTATTTCAATGTATCCCGCTGTATTCTATGTGTTTCATTGTATTCACTGTCTCGCTATATTCTATGAAACTATTCATATATTTTTTTTAATTAATATAATTTATGTATTCAGATGTATTATATAATTTCTCTGAAGATTGCTATGTTTTCGGGGTGTTTTTCGGTTGAGAATATTTTTTTATAAATGAAAATACAAAATTTGTGTGTTATAATTGAGTTTGTTGAGTTATATTAGGAGTCTATTATGTTAATTGATTCACTTTCTGTAACGACCCGGCCGGTCATTTTTAGAATTTACGCCACGATCCCCTATTAACTGCTTTCCCCAAGTTTATTTCTGCTATTTTGAATTGCCGGGATGGTCGGTTTTGAATTTCGTAGAGTTTTGGGACACTTAGTCTCTAAATGAGAACTTAAGTGTTGGAAAGTTGACCGTTGTCGGACCAGTGTGAAGACGGCTTCGGAATGGAAATCTGATGGTTCCGGTAGCTCCGTTAGATGATTTCGATAGTGGCGTGGTCGGATTTTTTTTTTGGAGGTCCGTAGCTAATTTATGCTTGAAATGCCGAAAGGTCGAATTTTGAAGTTTCCGGTTCGATAGTGAGATTTTGATCCGAGGGTCGGAATAGAATTTCGAGAGTTGCAGTAGCTTCGTGGTGTCATTTGGGATGTGTGTGCAAAATTTCAGGTTATTCGGACGTGGTTTGGTTGGGTTTTTGATCAAAAGCGGAATTCGAAAAAAATTTAGAAACTTAGGCTTGAATCTGAGGTGTTTTGGTTGATTTGATGTTGTTTGAAGTGTTTTGATGATTGGAACAAGTTTGAATAAGGTATTAGGATATGTTTGTGCTTTTGGTTGAGGTCCCGGGAGCTTCAGGTGATTTCGGGTGGTTAACGGAGAAGTTGAGATGTTATTGCAGCTGCAAAAATTGCTGCTTCTGGTGTTTTCGCACCTGCGGTTTGGGGACCGCAGGTGCGGCGCCGCACGTTCGGGTGATCTATCGCAGAAGCGAAAAAGGGTCAGGTGAGCAGAGACTGCAGAAGCGGTAAATCGACCGCATCTGCGATGTCGTAGATGCGGAAGTTTGGTCGCAGATGCGATTTAGGCTGGATAAGTGAATTCCGCAGAACCGGAGGATTTAACCGCAAATGCGGTACCGCAGAAGCGGGTATTGTACCGTAGATGCGAAAGGGTCTGGGCAGAGCATATAAGTTATTTCATTTCACGAATTTGAGCTATTTCACCATTTTTGACTTCGGCTTGGGAGCTTTTTGGACGATTTGGAAGAGGGATTTCAAGGGAACTTCATTGAGGTAAGGATTTTGAACCTAAAACTCGTTCCTATGCTATTATCTCATGGATTAGAGCTAGAATTTGTGGGAATTAAGGGTGAAAATTGGGGAAAAGCTAGGGTTTAGGATTAGAGACTTATGATTGAGGTTTTGATGGGTCATATGAGGTCCGATTTCAGTGTTCTTGGTATGTATAAACTCGTGAGAGTGTGAGGATTCCGGAAATATAAATTTCACTCGATTCTGAGACGTGGGCCCGAGGGGCGTTTTGGTCATTTTACCTAATTTCGCGTATTAGATTAGAATTTAATTGTAGAATCAGTTACTTGAAGTGTTATTTACATTATGAAATTTAATTGAATAGATTTGGGCCATTTGGAGTCGGATACTCGTGGCAAGAACGTGGTTTCGGGTTGACATTTAAGTCGGTTCGAGGTAAGTGGCTTGTCTAACCTTTTGTGGGGGACCTTTCCCCTTAGGATTGATATTGTGATAATTGAAATGCCTTGTACGTGAGGTGACGAGCCGTACTTGTGCTAATTGTTGGAAATCCGGTTTTATTTCATTAAAAATAGCCTTGAATTGTGTTCTTCTTTTCTTGCTTACACTACTTGGAAATTTAGCCTGCTGTTATACTAGAGAAGCATGTCTACTTGACTAAATTGTTCTATTTGACTTAACTGTCTTAATTGTATTATGTGCAGCATACTAGGCTAGAATTATTTGTTGCCTTAATATGAAATTTCCCTTCTCTGAATTATTTCCTTGCTGCTACTGCGTATTTACATTGGGACTACGGATGTGGGATTTTCGGTAGCTCCCCCTTGTCTGTTTACTTTGGGACTACGGGTTAGATTCTCGGTAGATCCCCCTGCACATTTACTTTGGGACTACGGGTTAGATTTCGGGTAGATCCCCCTGCACATTTACTTTGGGACTACGGGTTAGATTCCCGGTAGATCTCCCTACACAGTTATATGGAACTACGGGAATGCACCCGGTAGATTCCCCCAGTATTAGGTATTTATATTTGGGGACTACGGATTGGGATTCCGGTAGATCCCCCCGCGCATTGATAGTTGGACTACGGGACGGGATCCCGAGAGATCTTTCGAACACATACATGATGGACTACGGGACGGTATCCCGGGAGATCCACTGGATAGTAGTTGTAATTGGGACTACAGGACGGTATCTTGAAAGGTGCCCCGGTTGTTATCTTTGTGTTGAGCTGTATTTCTTTCCGTGGTTTGTTTGTCTCTGTTCTAGTTGTTGTTGTTATTCCAATTCTATGTTAATTCTTATTGTTGCATTTATTTACACTGTTTATTTCACACTGTTAACCCTTATATTTTATTTAACCTCAGTAGGGCCCTGACCTTCCTCGTCACTACCGGACTGAGGTTAGGCTTGGCACTTACTGAGTGAAATAAACAGTGTAGGGCCCTGACCTTTCCGTGGTTTGTTTGTCTCTGTTCTAGTTGTTGTTATTCTTCCAATTCTATGTTAATTCTTATTGTTGCATTTATTTACACTGTTTATTTCACATTGTTAACCCTTATATTTTATTTAACCTCAGTAGGGCCCTGACCTTCCTCGTCACTACCCGACCGAGGTTAGGCTTGGCACTTACTGAGTAGTGTTGTGGTGTACTCATGCCCCTTCTGCGCATGTTTTTCATGTGCAGATCCAGGTACTTTCGCTCAGTCTTATCATCCCTGAGGCGAGGCGACTGCTATAGCGACTTCGAGGTATATCTGCCGCGTCCGCAGACCGAGGAGTCTCTTTCTATTCTTGCTGTTTAGTATTAGCCCTTCTGTATTTCAATTCTTGTTAGACAATCTGGAGTTAGAGCTATGTAGTACTTCTTAGCTTGTGATTCAAGGGTTTTCGGGTCTTGGATTTATGTGTTGGTTTTTTTTTTTTTAGAGTTAGATATGGTGTATGCCGAGCGGCACATTTAAACACTGTTTATTTCTTTATTTTCATTTTAAATTGTTTTACTTCCGCAAATTTTGGTTTCTTTTCCGCAATTTAGGCTTACCTAGTCGTAGAGACTAGGTGCCGTCACGATGGTTCACGAAGGGCTAACCGGGTCGTGACACTTTCCGTTTAAAAATAGTGTAATCCCCTGTTTCACGCCGTGAATACAGTCGAATACAATAATCTGTCCAGCTGTAATCTCATGTTTCACGCCATGAATACAGTCGAATACACTCGAATACAAAAATCTGTCTAGCTGTAATCCCCTGTTTCAAGCCTAGAAATGCTACTGTATTCATGAATACAGTAGCTTAAATACATCGAATACACTCTAAAAAATCTGAAAACATAGCTATAGGAAGTAATATAGTAAATGATAGCTACAACTAGCTAATAACCACTAAAACATAATAGTTTCTGAAAGTTTCTCTAATATTTACTACGTAGTACTATTAATTTGAGTTTGGCATGAAAGCAAACGACGTCTATAAGCAGGGAAAAATAAGAATTTAAAATATAAGCCTTACTTAGGTGTAAGAGTCTAATCTCTATAAGCCTCTTTTTGTTTCTACTTTATCTCCCCGACTAGTAACATGAACATTATTTTTAAAGAAGCCAATAAGCTAACAATTTACTGTAATTGTCTCTATTTGACATCAAACTTGGATAATTGACCAATTGAAAAGTAACATGTCCGGTTCGTCATATGGTTGGTACTTGGTACTCTATACGGTTTTAGGAACATGAGAACAAGAAATAGATCGGTACCTTCGCTCCAATCTGAACCAAACAACATGAGAAACAAAGCTATCAACCTATTTCACTCCCCACACATCCTTTTTTGCTCCCTTCCCCACAGCATAGTTTACCTTTTAAACTAAACCATTCCATTTTCTAACATTTCAATTATCTCTCATGAAAAGCAAACACCCCGTCGCCCAAGCTTTGATTTAGTGGCAAGAACATACCACGTGATGTGTGGATTAGACGATGCACAGGCTCGCATATGAACGTGTCAATAACCAAGCCAGTGAACGTGTTTCGCATATGAAGAGCCACTATATTATGCTTTTCGGCTTAATCTTCCATGCTTATACTATTGACGTTAACTGCACAATAAAATGCCCCCTTTCTCTTCACCTTTATGTGAATGGAAATGCGAATGCCAACAAGGTCTCAAGTAGAGGACTTCATGATGTTTTAATGCTATCTCAAATGTCTATTCAAAAAGAGCTGTTGTCAAAGATTTTACGGATTTCTCCAAGTATACAGAATAGTGATGACAACTAATTGAATGCAACTATAGAGTAAATGAAAATGGAAGAAGAAATAACTAATTAAGATAAGCCAGATAATCTGAACCTGTATGTGTAGGATCTCAAAGGAGTTCAGGATAGTAACATCATGAAGTACAAAACTAGCAAAATATGACAAGGAGGAGATAAAGAAAGATTCATCAAGTTCATATTAGGAAGGCTGGCAATAAGGAACTTTAATTGTTCTCTTCTCATGTGGTCTGTCGGGGCTTTAATATTAGCCGAAGACTTGGCTACTGAACACCTAATTTGTTGCGTCGAAACAAAAAAAAACACCTACTTAGTTGTCTTTTCATAGAACAAACTTCCAAATTCCCTGTAAGTGTGTATAGAAATCAATCCAAACCCATGATTCACATAGGATGAACACTGTACAAGCTTCGGAGAACTTGTGTAAAAAATACCAAAACAGAGATGCATAAAACACTGATTACCAAAAGACATCCTTGATAATAAGTGGAGGCCTTACATGGAATCACCTCGGGACCGATAGACCAAGCTCTGGAAAGGGGAAAAAAATGGTCTCAGGAGATTCTTTCAAGTAGAAATTTCATAGAATTAATTTCAGAAAGCAATAAAGACATGACATACATAAATGCCAAACAGTACCAATTTGAGGTGTGTATTATTTTCAAAGTTGTACTTCAATTGAACCGTTTTATTCAACATTCATCAATTCCAAAGCCATATAATCTATGATGAGCTTTGCCAAAAGTTACAGATCTTCCAGATTGACAGAATAGACGAAAAAGAGAAAGAGGAAAGAAATAAGAGAACTTTTAAGGCAATGTCAATTCAGTTATAAGAGAACGAGAAGAGGGGAAAGATATTAGATATACAAAGTTAAACATATTTGCAGCCAAAGTTGGGAGAATTCTAAGCAAAAGAAAGCTCTTTCAAAAAATAATACAGAAGACACCCATATATCAATGGGAAAAACCACTCTTTTCTATAAGTATCAATGGAGAGGACCACCAAGTACATGTTAAAAACGCCCATGTATCAATTTCCTTATTTTCTTTGCTCAATAATCCAAATGCAAGAAAATATATCCTCCTTATATTTGTTTTAAATAGGTCTCGCACCACTAAAGCCAAACAGACCGTACACATACTCCAATAGGAACTTCGAGTTAATCAACTGTTGAGACACCCCTTCTCATTGAAAACCCAAGATTGGCATGAAACATAAAGACAGTACATTAACTTATACTTGGCATGTTTTGATTTGAGAATGAAAACAAATGCATGAAACGGACCAAAGAGGAAAATAGCAATTCTCCGGGGTAGAAACAGAACCTAATAGGCTTAAGGGTCTACCTTCATGGTGGCAAGAAAGAAAACGTTCACGTTCCATCAACTCCATCTGGGAAAAGGAGTTATTGTCACCACAATATTCTTACAAAATACAAAAAATCTACTAGTCTACTAAGAACTAAAAATTCTAGAAATGATAAATTGCTTCTCTGGAGATCATTGAATACTTGTATCCTAAAATAAAGAGGGAGGAGCATACCCATGGAAGACATGCTTTTCTAAGGTAGAGAATGACGTACTAGAGATGAATAAATATTAGCCCAAGTGAACCCTAAAGGTCATAAAAGTGTGACACTGACCGTCAATCTAGCCTCCCAACAACACCCTTGAAGAGTTGCTACTGAGGTGGTTGAAGGTTCACCGACGTATCGCAACAAGGAACTTCTTCTTTTATTTTATTTTATTTGAGAAATAAAGCAACAGGGAGCTCATATCTATCTGTTTTCCTACTCTTACACCTTAGTCAATCAGCTCAAAAGGAGCCGAATCAATGAAGGTGATACTTTTCTAGTTACAAATTTGCCAGCTTCTTAACAAGATGAAAAACCATAACATAAAAATCATATCTCAATGAATCCTTTTTCCCCCATTTTTAATCATATTGGAGTTCCTTGATCTTCCTTCACAAAAGTGTCTTGCTTCTTTCTTTAAACTACATCATTACTGTTTTGTTCTCTCACACATTGCAGTGGCTTCGGTCACTGTGGTTCTTGTTTCATAGATTTATTATCTTGGAAAATTTTCCTACAGTTCGTCTATGTGTTGGTTTCTCTAATGATGATGTACATGTTTTGTTATGACGGTGGTGTCAAGGCTTACTTGGTACGCACCTCAACTATTCCACCAGTTATCTGCAACCTCCTACTAGCACAGGTACCAAGTAACTCTACCCACCAACTCTTAGGTAGATGGGAGAAAATCATCTAATGTCTTTTTTTCCTCCTCTAGGACTTGAACCTGCGACTCATGGTTCTTCTCCCACTTTATTAGCTACTAGGCCACACACTTAGGTACATGATGTACATGTTTTTGTCATGGTTTTCAATATTTGGGGTAAGAAACATGATAAACATACAACAAGCTCGATTTATTAATCAAATTTGTAGCAAGTTAAAAAGATCATTGGCGTTATTGATTTTTGTAGTGTTGTAGAAGCAAATGCAATGTATAAAGCACGTTCTCACTTATGGGCTTTCAAATGGCCACTTTTGATGATGAAGTGTGAGTGCTTTTGAAGAATCCCTAGTTTATCTTATCTCGTAGTGATCGACTACATTGTAATTCTAGAGAAATTCTAAAAGTTGAGTACTATTTCTTCCCTATCATATCTTGATTTTTGTGATTATTCTGAACATTAGTATAACGCCATCATTTTAGGGATGAAAAAGGGAAATTCGAACATAAACAACTAAGGCACTGTTTGTTGGCTGGTTCTTCAATTGTTTCAGCCAAATTGCTTTTCCCCCCAAAATTATAAATTTCACCATAGTCCTTAGTTATTGTACATCACACTACCGGTTATTCTTGTTTTGAATTTGCATAGACTCCCACTCCCTATCCTAGTTAAAAGCTTGAACAAGCAGGGCTGAAACTATCCCTATATCTTTTACTTATCGGGTTGCGCACAACATACCTTCTGATTTCTGGTCAGCATTTCAAAAGGCGTGGGCAGGAGCAAGGCATTTTGTCTAACATTGGGCGAGGCATAAGCCTCAAGGCACAGGCATAAGTCCATGGATATTTAATTTTAAATATTTTATAAATTAATAATATAAATATATGAATAACAAAAAAATTCTATTAAAATTGTAGAAAATTCAAGAAAATTATAAAATTAGTTGGAAATGTATATATCTATATAAACATACTAACATGTAAAGAAACACTTTACTTGAAAAAGTGAAAGACGTTAAGATGCATTACACCTATATTTTATTTGTATTATAATGAGTATTTGTGATTTATTTTTTAAATTTAGGTTTACAAACAATAATTTTCTGGTATTGCCATTTTTCTGTTTCTGAATTATTAGGAACTAGGGTATCACTTTTGTAAAATAAAGTCTCCAGAACAATATATCAACTAGAGTGATACCAAAAGAAATTCTAATACTAAAAACTAACTTGAAAAGAATAGATTAAAGAGAGGAAAAACCATGTGAAGCATAAAGAAGGAAGCTGCAAGCTTGGAAGCACTACAAGCATTAAGTACAAAGCTCATGCTTTGCAAAGAAAGGGCCAAAGAGTATTTGTTACTCAGTAAACGACAAAGAGAAAGCATAATGAAATTAGGTGGCCTTTGACTTTTGAGATTTTTTTTCAAACTGAGCAGGACGAAGACGGAATACCTGGAGTGTAAGTTCAGCGCAGAGCCGGGAGAAGTGGGTGTGGATGTGAGGCTTGAATCACAGGTCATCCCAAGTAGAGGCAGCTTCAAGTACCTTGGATCAGTTATCCAGGGAGGAGGGGAGATCGACGAGGATGTCACACACCGTATTTGGGTAGGATGGATGAAGTGGAGGTTAGCATCTGGAGTCCTGTGTGACAAGAGAGTGCCACCGATACTCAAAGGTAAGTTCTATAAAGCGGTGGTTAGACCGGCTATGATGTATGGGACTGAGTGTTGTCCTGTTAAGAACTCACATATTCAGAAGATGAAAGAAGCCGAAATGAGGATGTTGAGGTGGATGTGCGGCCACACTAGGATGGATAAGATTAGGAATGATGTTATTCGGGAGAAGGTGCACGTGGCTCCCATTGAGGACAAGATGCGGGAAGCGAAGCTAAGATGGTTTGGGCATGTTCAGAGGAGAAGCTCAGATGCTCCGTTAAGGAGGTGTGAACGGCTGGTTGTGGAGGGCACGAGAAGAGGTAGAGGGCGGCCTAAGAAGTACTGGGGAGAGGTGATCAGACAGGATATGGCGAGGCTTCAGATTTCCGAGGACATGACACTTGATAGGAAGATGTGGAGGTCGACTATTAGGGTTGTAGGTTAAGAGCTAGTTGAGTCTTGCCTTACTTCGTGCCATTGTGGGACAAGTCTAGTAGGGGTCCCCTATTCTTCCCCTCTCTTTCCTCCTCTTCTTCTCCCCTATTCTTCCTTTCTACCTTTTTTTGAGCCGAAGATCTATCGGAAACAACCTCTCTACCTCTCCAAGTAGGGGTAAGGTTTGCGTACTCACTACCCTCCCTAGACCCCACCCGTGGGATTATACTGGGTATGTTGTTGTTGTTGTTGTTTCGACATATATAGATTAAACTGTCAAGTAGCTCTCATTTCCATTTTAATCCAGATATTCGTCTTATCTAAACATCACATTAGCCAAGAACAATTCGCATAGAAGCACCATCGTACATAAGCAATTACCTGCTTCCAAGCTGAGTTCAAACCATCCTCAACAACTCTGAGTAGAGCTGTCAAAACGGGCTAGCCCACCCCAACCCAGCCCAAGCCTCGTTGGATTTTAAATTTGGTGGGCTAGGACGGGCCTGCCCTCCATCTATATGGGCCTTAAAATGGCCAGGCCAGCCCAGCTCTAAGAGGGTCGCGGGCTAGGACGGGCCAGCCCTTCAATTTTTTTAGAAACAAATATTTTTTCAAATCGTTAGATATTTTTTCGTGACATAATCTCTTAATCATATGAGCGACTTCTGTTTATTTAGAGTGTACAAGAATATTGATATTTGACAAGGAATCTCGTAACTGAAATGCAAATTCTCTATATCTCTAGCTCTTCTTTTTTTAACGTTACATGAATTAGTACTTTTCTTTCACATTCCTTTGGTTTAGGAATTGCTTCAATAAGTTTATATGTTAAGGTATTTTAATTTAGGTTAACATTATTTGTTGATTTCATCATTATAGTCCATAAAATTTTTTAAATTCTTGAAATTTGCTAGTGTTGTCAATTTTCTTTGGGTATTAAAACTTGACTTTTTTCTATACTGAAGAGCAATAATTAATAATATATAAAAGTAACCAAACTGATTATTGGCCACTTAAAGTAATATTTCTTTTGAAAAAATTATTATTACCACTTGAAACTTTCCTAGTTCGTTGTTAATTAAGCAAAAGAAAAACTAATCTTATCATACTACATGCATGTCAAAAATATAAATTCTAATTGATATGGAAGGGTAAATGATCAATCGAAAGTTGGAAAATAGGGATTATAGTTAATATTTTTTTAGTTTTTACTTTTTTAAATGTTTAAATTTAAATAAAATTAATTTTTGGCCCACGGACCGGCCGAGGCCCATCTCGGTCAAGCCTCAAGGGCCAGCGGGCTGACTTGGGCCGGGCTTATAAGCCTCAGTTTTAAATGGGCTAAAAAAATCCCAACCCAGCCCTACCCAAGTAGCGGGCTGGGTTGGGCTGGCCTCACGGGCCAAGCCCATTTTGACGGCTCTAACTCTGAGTTAATGCATGTATCCTTTTTATCTTATTTTATTTTGTACAGTAATACTGATTTTATGCATGCATCTATCAAGAAGTTGAACAGAATGCATCAGGAGAAACCTTAATTATGTTAATAATGGAGTGTCAAAAAAAATTATCCTTCATAAGGAACTGTTACAGAGTTTCACCAATGAGGCGCAATATACGCTTGAACACTCTTTTGAAAGGTAAGCAAAAAAACTTTCTAACTTTTCTTTATTTTATAAATGCGTTCCCCCGTAGCCATCTCTACTTAAATGTCATACTTGGTTCACCAGCTTATACTCAGACTCGTAATATGTGCCCTTCCATAAATACCACACCGTGCTACCTTTGGCATTGAAATAAAGCCCTTGAGGGCAACGTTTTTCTAATCTTTACACTCAAATGCCATGCCTTTTTGTTAAACTGAAATTTTGATCAAACTATCCCTAGTAGTCAAAGCTTAGAGAACTATAGGCACGGACTTTCAACATGGTAAATGTTGGGCAGCTCGATAGGGATGAGGAACAAGGAGCATAACTGATGTTCTAAGATTTTGCAGCAAACTTCTGTAGATTACCAAATAAAGTCCAATATGTATCACCAGTAATTAGCCAACAGTCAAAGTTCATTTCACAATCTAACTGCACTTCCTTTAGAGCCTTGTTTCTATTAACACGAATTTCAGGATTTCAGATGATTCACTAAACTTAGATACCCATCGTGGCAAACTGAGGTAATGACACACATGAATTAACCGTTGATTGATAAACTTTATGTGAAAGATACATGTCATGTACTTATCGCTTATCGGTGCAAGTATTTCCCATCACCCCTCCTTCTATGTTTTCTTCCTATACTTTCACATGGTTACTGTTAATGAATTACAATTTCTGTACACAAAATGAAATAATGACAACTGATTGAGACGGCTTGCATGAGCATCACAGTCTACTTTTCAAAAGTATAAAGTATCAGATGTGAAGCAACTACTCACGATTAAGATAACAAAACCAGAAAGAGAACCCTTAGAGTCCAGGGAAGGTGCAGCAGAGAGTACCCTGTGAGAGAGCTTGACAACTCCTCGAGCCATCATTCAGACATGAAGTTAGCCTGGCTGTTGCTACTGCACTATGCAGAGGCAAAAGGGACTGAAGACATCCAAGTTGCTTCATTGGAGACCTGTCATCAATTCAAACCCACAATACAAAATATATCATATCATACAACAAAATATCAAATTTAAGAACCATTTCAATTAGTGTAAGAAAGGGTAAAGAGAAATCAGCAACAATGCACACACTGGTCAGCATACAGGGACTCATGTAGCTTGTTAACAGCGGATGCAGGCGCAACCATGACCTTTGATTCTACCAATATTTTGTTGTGTATGTGCCTATAGATATATACATATAGATGTGTGTGCGCACACACAAGGGCGATCCAATATTTAAATTTAATAGGTTCACAGTTTTGAGTTCATTGAAATATGGGTTCTAAACTTAAATTTATATTACTACTATCTTTCAGGATTTCTCACATATATATTAATGATTTGAGCAAAAAAGGTGGGTTATATGTGTGTATATATTGTGTCCATGCCAGCTTACACACATTTGGTCAAATCCACCACACAACTTGCAGTAGCCCGCGTGCAGGTAATTCTGCCCATCAATGGAGCAGATGGACTCACATTGAGTGGGTAAACATATCAAAATGGCATTCCACGCTGATTGTCTCCTTCTCATCCCCAACCACCCCGCCCCTGCCCCCTCCATCCCCACCCCACCCCGCCTCCCGCCTCCTGCCCCTTCACCCCAACCCCCACCTTCCACCTCCCCCACCCCTTCCCGACCTAATAGTGTTTGCCTATATTATATAAAGATGCTCTTGAGGCAATATATTCTCCCTACTTACCAAACACCAAAAAAGAAGCAAGAAAATCACTTATTTTTCTGGAAACATTTTCTGTGTGACATTTTCCTTCGTACCAAACACACCCACATATGCATTTATCAAGGAATCAATAACTATACCTTAATCTCAAGCAAGTAAAGGTTAGCGATATGAATCCTCACTGTCCATGTTTCTCCATTTAAACTCATTTTATTCCAATAACATATAACATAAAATTATAAAATAAAAAGCACAAAAATCTCTGTATTTCCTAGTGGCATGTAAATCTCTAACATTTATCAAGGAATCAACAGAAAAGGAAATTAGATAAGAACCAAAGGAAAAAGGAGAAATACATTTAAGAGACTAATTGTAACAAGAATTACTTAAGCTTGCTGCTGAAGGATGGTGAGGAAGAAGGAAGTGCAGAAGATGATTTAGCATATCCAGAAAAAGAAGGAGAAGCTTGAGATGACTTTGAAGGTTTTCTAATGGCGTATTTCGCGGATGCTGATGCTCTGTTTACTATGCGTTGGCAAATTGAAGCCATTTGATGATATAATTGAATCAGAAGAATTCCATAGCACAAGGTTTAAGGGGTTGAGGATTTCTAATTTCCTATAGAGGGAATCATGGAGATTTGTGTTTGTGGATTTTTAGTACGAGAAAAATGACAGAAATGGTCCATTAAGTTTGGAGTAAAGCAATTTTGACCTTTTTAAGGCCCCGTTTGGCCATAAGTTTTGTCAAAACAAATTTGAGATTTATTTTCAAAATTCATGTTTGGCCATAAATTTTGCTCATATTTTGGCCAAATCCCAAATCAAAAATTTCAAATTCCAAAATCAGCTATTGAGCTGAATTTGGGCCAAAATCCTAAAACTTGGGAATTATATACATGTTTTTTCAAAATAAAGTTGGAAAATATATTTTGAAAACGTATGTCCAAACACATTTTCATCTTCAAACCAAACTTCACCCAAATCAGATTTTTCAAAATAAATTTGAGATCTATGGCCAAACGCTAGCTAAGTTTGTCGAAAATAAATACGTACTTGTTATAAAACAATAAAAGAAGAGGAAGAATATTGCAGAGAAAAGTAGGGACAGAGAATTCTTATTGATTTGGGATGAATTACAATGGAATAGAACCCTCTATTTATAGGGAGAGGGTGACTTAGCCACCAAGTAATAAACTCTAGAATCTCTCTAAATATAGACATTCACCATAAATAAAATTCTATTTATAACACTCCCCCTTGAATGTCTATTCAACAGATAATGTGCCTCGTTAAAACCTTAACTAAAATAAAACCCAATGGAAAAAAATTCTAGAAAAGGAAAAAGAGTACACATATCTAACAATACGCCTTTTGGTTGCCTCGTTAAAAACCTTGCAAGGAAAACCCAATGGGACAAAACCTTGTAAGGGAAAAAGAGTACAACGCATATTAACTCCCCCTGATGAGAGTATCAATTCACATCCTTAAGCATTTGCATTCCAATCTTGTGCACCATCTTCCAGAGATCGTTGGTAGAGATTTGATAAACAAATCAGCCATATTAACTTGAATGGATATATTGCACCTTGAAATCATCATTCTTAATAGATATATAATGTCTTCATATAATGTCGTGGAATGGCTCTTCAATATCTCCATAGAGATTCTCACTATCGTATTATCATGCTTATAATTATAGCAAGATACATATATGCACAAATTGCACCGAGGATGTGGTACTTCAAGATCAAGAATTGTATATGCTTCAAGCAATTTAAATCATTTGGGGATTGTCATATAAGTATAGTCAAATAAGCCATTTAAATAGACTTTAGATGCATATCAACTTTTCATGTCATGCTAGACATATAAGATATCGAAAACTGACTGCACATATCATTGACTTTATACTTTCAAGTATTTGAACTGCAGGTCCAAAACAACATTTCTTTCATATGAAACCAATTCTACTTGAATTTATCTCTTCTATTTGGCCAATATTTTTGTGTCTGTATTCGACAAACTTAAGATCCTCATCTATACTTAGCGCTATGATAGATGTCGTCGACGAACATTTTATATCGGTTCCAACCTCCTTATTTTTCATAAAGACATAACATAGAGATCTCTTCAGTCATATGTTCAGGTACCTGAATCTTTCATGAGATTTTATGAAGTGTTATGTCATGTGATCTTCTAGATCTCTTGCCTCCTTTATTATGATCATTTTGATCATTTGCTCATCTTCTTTATTAAGAAGTTTATTTGAAACCGATCTGTCTATACGCTTTAAGCGTACCATAGACTTTGTCCTTCTAGGACTATTATAATATGAGCATTTGCAGCGAGAATATAGTTACTTTCTTTGGGTCAGCAAATGCGTCTGGCATGCTTTGCAATATATTGCAAATGAATTATCTTTTTATGAACTTCAAGTTCATATTATCTTATTCGAGGATCTAGATGTACAAATGATAATTCATTCCACGTAACTTTTTTTCAAATGTTATCATCTCTCCCCATCATGTTAGAAAAACTAACTTGCTTCATCATCTTTGTGCGTTTGGTGTTAATCAAAATATACACCGCACATCAATAATAATAATAAGATGGAATTATTTGGTTCCTGACCTTGAACCACTCGTGAGGGGAGAATGTAATATACTTTCGTATATAACCTATATCAAACTGATATAAATAACTTTGTTCTCATAAGCAATAGTTTAGCTATTAAGTGGAGGCACTCAATAAATTCTTTTGCTAAACCAACTGTGATGTAAACCAACTTATCAAGATGAACTATCTTGAATAAAAAATCTGGAAATTATGCTCTAAATTAAATTATTGAGCAAGTTACCTCGCAAACACCATGTTGCGGATTAATAATAATCGCACATGTAACCATCTCATAGATGCATCTTATGTGGTTTTATCCATGGCAGGTGAATGGGCCCATATTCACCTTTGATATTTCCAGTATTCATGGGATTCAATCCCAATTTTAGTTGATCTATTAATTAATGAGAACAAGCAATATAAGAGAATTCATAAAGAACTTTATAGTTCTTTAATATTTACCCATGTGAATTCTCTATTATTTTTGCACATCATACTTAAATTGATATGGCTAAACCAATTATGCCAACTGAATAAATTATCAATATTGATAAACTTCAGATTTACACCATGACGTGTGCAATTATCAATAAACTCCAAGTTTATTATGATATGAGTTTTTATATCAATAAACATCCACTTTATTGTGGTATTCTTTTATTTGTGTAGTACAAACTGGAGAATAAAGCGGGTAGCTTTTCACATACATATTACCCAGCTACAAGTTGTAGTAATAGAAGATATTAAATCTTTCCTTTATTTATAGTCTCAATATAATCAACCGCTTTCGCGTATACTTTGGAAACTGAATACGTTTCTTTGAGACTTACTACAACACAATACCTCATTGGTAATCAATTGTGTTTCTCCAAAATAGTATAATTGGCTCTTGCAGAGTTCTCAATTAATTTTGTAGTACCACATATTCATCAACACCCATAAGGTGAATATCTCTTTTAAAGAGAAAGTTATACCATTATGGTTATGGTCAAAATTATATGCAAGATATGTTTCTTGCATTACCGTTGTCTTTTAATAATCACAATGCCAAAATATTTTAGCGTACAATAGGTACGTGACCAATGACCATTCATGCCATAATAATGACATTATTTTCTTATATCATCTCAAACCTCCTTTTAGAGGTGAGTGCGGTATATTCACTACCACTAGCACGTTCATATTCTTTGAAGAATGAATATGTATTCATAAATCAGATGTTGTCACATTCGCATCATGAACGGACCATAATCATCTATGTGCTTTACAAAATCTCATGTCAAATCGATGACAAATATTTTTCACAGAGTGAAAGATTATTTTGAGAATCCTTATTGTTCTCATTACCACAAATGATGACGATTATAATTTCGTCTATTGCCACGTCCATATCCATTGATACATTCATAGTAATAATTTTGTCTTCTTTTAGACTTATCACATACTGCTATCACATTCTCTTAAGGGAATGAGAATGGAGCAAATTCAATGGGACGGGTTTTCAATTCTTTGCCCACAATCATAAATGAATTTGATCATGGCGAGGCATAAAAATTTTACCACTTCAGGTGGTTATAATTTCTTACAAACTCCATTAGAGTTATAATCAAACTTTGTTGTCTTTGCTTGAATTTAAAATCAAAGTATAGAATAAAAGAGAAAAATACGGTAAAATACTTACCTTAAATCCAGAATTTAATCATGAAGGAAGTTCATGGAATAATTGACAATCATTATGCTCAATCCCAAAGCTTCTACTCAATTGGTTAGAGTCTCGTGCTGATAACGTATTATAAAACAATAAAAGAAGAGGAAGAATATTGCAGAGAAAAGTAGGGATAGAGAATTCTTATTGATTTGGGATGAATTAGAATGGAATAGAACCCTCTATTTATAGAGAGAGGGTGACTTAGCCACCAAGTAATAAACTCTAGAATCTCTCTAAATATAGACATTCACCATAAATAAAATTCTATTTATAACAGTACTACTTTTAATCTCTATCAAATAAACATTTGGAGGTACAATTTTTGGCGTTTCTTCAAATTTTGATCTATTTCTACCCTTTTTATAATTTTTGATATTTGATTCAATTTTTCATATTGCAATTTCCTAGAGTCAACGTACTTTCCTAGTGTGTTTGATCAAAATGGAAACCTGTTTTGACAGAATCAGTGATAAGAGTTTTTAAGAAGCCAAATCTTTTGTAAATATTGTTTGCAAATATCTGCACAAAAAATATCTATCACTTAAAAGGTAATCGTATACATATGTATGTCAATTAGGGGGTCAATGGATTTTTGAAAACTGACTAAACCGATTGAACCGTACCGCACCGAACCGATTTTTAGGTTTCTTTTAAAAAAATCGTAGGTTTTTATATAAATCTATAACCGTACCGATAATTATGGTGGATTTTTTATTTTATAAAAATAAACCAAAAAAATACCGAACCGTACCGAATAAATTTTACATGTGAAAATATATTTATAGAGTAAGTTCAAAACTAATAAAGCATTGAATTTTTTATTGAGCCTTGAAATTATGAAAATTGTTACAACCCAACAAGTAATTAAACTCAAAATACTAATTCCTAAAACCTATTATGCTACTTATACTTAAACTAAGTTATTTCAAGTATCTTTGTTAGCAAGACACAAAGTTATCTAGCGATTATGAGTAGCAAACTGCAATGAATTGAATATGTTTCCTTTCATATAATTTAGATTTATCTTTTTGAATACTTAATATAGACTTTATTCTTGAGTCCCAGCTTGGTTAATATCTTTTCACTCGTGTGATTTATATTTTCTTTGCTTTTACTTGGTTTCTTTTACGTTGCTGTCGAATAGTTGATGGATACTCTAGTCATCTTTCATGTTTTTTTAATTCATCACCCTTTAAACAATAAAAATATCTAGAGAGTTTTGCTAAGTCCTATAAAAGAACGTATGTTATTGCATTCTACTTCTACTGGTGAATTTTACACAACATTTAAAAAAAATACCGAAAATTAACCGAACCATACCGATACTGAAGTGAAACCGACATGATCA